GCTCTACCAGTTAAGCTACCGGGCCCCTTCCATCATTACCTTCTCTCAGTCCATCCGTTTGGCTTGAATTAAGATTCACTAGTAACTTGATCGCAAGGCGATAGAACTTTAATGTGTAATTTTTAATATTAAAATAATAAAAAAAAATTATTAACCTTATTAATTTCTCACGTTTCTTATTTTTTACCGGTAAACCACAGTAAAAAGTAATGGTACTTTTCCATATTTTTTCACGTTGTATTTGTGACTAATTATTAAAAGAATTGTAATTACAGCATAGATCGCAGAATGTTTCACAATTATTGTAATTTTGGCGATAATTTTCAAAAAAAAATTTCTTTCCGCGTAAATATTTAAATTACTTATTGTCAAGCAGTATTTAGTAGCTCAGATATAGAGTATTCCCCAGATACCTCCTTATGTGGGTACTACCTATATAATACTCAACCGCGAACAATGATTAATAGCCCATTGTATATTTTTATCTAATATAATACTTAAAATCTCATTCATGCCCGGGGCTATTGTATCCCTCGGATGTTTTCATTTTTACGTAAATCGCGGTCCATTTTCGCATGAATAATTTACCTCAATAAAGGTGTCTCATTTTTCGAAAAGTACATTAGATAAACAAAAGCTTATATCTTAAATTCCTCATTGTGGAAAAATGACGGCTTCGGAAGATCTTCCGTCTTTCGCTGAATTTAATTAAACTCAATTAAACACAAAAACGGGAATTAATTATCAAACTCGTCTTGTTTTATTACGTATATTACTTCTGTTACTATCATACACACGAGAGCATGTTGAATTGGAGTTAACAATGGTAAATAACACTGTTGAGCCTTACAGCCGTCAATCTTGCTGTAATTTCCTCCCTTGTTGTTGCCCGTGATATACATCTCGTATTACTCACTTACTAAAACAATTCCATTAGCATTATTTAATACCGACGCCCATGTTTTTATTATTTTTTACTTAGCTATTCTTCAATTAAATCTTTTTTTTTTTTTATGCTCCGCTTATACTTATTAGATTATATAGAGTCAGTATATACTACCGAAATTAGCTTAATGAGTTCTTAACGAGGTTATAATCTACCATGCGTTATTTCCGTGGTTATTTTATTCTTGCTGCTAGCATGTCATTGTTATTATTGTTATTATTATTATTTTACTTAGATGAAAAGTTATCGAATTTAATAAATAAAGAGAATGCTGATTAGTAATTTATTTTTCGTAGATCGCGGGGTTGGGAACTTTGGAAATGTTTGGGGTAAGTCCCTAATTGAAAAATAATATTTTTCTATATTTTATTTTCCGTTGTATTATTAGATTTTTATAATTTTATTTTTTATATTTCATTAGAATGTGAGCAAATATTTATTTATAGATTAAATGCACGAATTTATTATTATTGTTACTGTTACCTTTATTATACCAGTTGATTTAATTTTTAGTATATGAATAAATAAAATGTAAGCATAAGATTGACCTTGAATAGCCAGCCGAAATTCATTGAGTTTTTAAAAAGTTGTTTTTTTTTGTTATATAAAAAAATTTTTCACATCAGTAATTATATAAACTTCACAATATATTTCGGGCAAATATTTTTGAATGAGAAATCGAACTGCAATTAATTTGATTGCCGGCCAGTGCTCTGAAGCGAATTAATTATTATTGCTTTTTAACACACTTTATTGACTTATTGAGTAAATATAAATTATGCATATTTAAAAAAAATTATTATTGTGACTATTAAAACTTTTTTTCCAATTTTAAGTTTTGATAAAAAAAAATGATGAAATAAATCTAAGAAGATTATTAAATAAAGTACGAAAAATATATACGCAGATATAGTAAATCTAAAAAAGAAAATCCTATAAAGTATAAGTATCTAAAAAAAAAATAAAAGTCTACGAGAGTTCTGCAGTGGTATAATAGTAAAGATGTTGAGGAAAAAAAAAGTTATTGTATTATTCTATATAAAATATGAAAAAACCGAGTGAGTTGTTTGTTGACAGCAAAAAAAGAGCTCATGGATCCTAGTATTTCTGCACTTAGTCGCTTAGTATATTTTACTTTAAATTATACACCGCTGTCAGGTTACTTTTGTTCGTCAGAAGCTGCTGCAGCGCACGGAAAATAACAAGGGTCTGACAATACAAGCTTCAGCATTGTCTGTTTTTTTTTTTTTCGATTTTTGCTAAATGAACAATTACACCCTCCGGTTGAATTAAAGTCAATCGTGTGAATGTGAAATTTACTTCAAGATAAATTCATCGGATTTGAGATATCTTCTAGTATAAGGTCATAAAGATACTTGGGTTGAAATTGAATTTTTTGAAGGTAAAAAAAAATAGTTTGATTAAAAATAAAAACTATAAATATTTAAAAAAATCAACATCAGAGGAAATTTGATTTTATGAAAACATTTTTTTTTTTTGATTATTCTGCATTTTTATTATCAGAGATATTTTTAACAAATATTAATTTATTTTTATTGTCAATACAGAATATTATTACAGATTTATAATGCGGAAAAATAAATATTCGATTTAAATAAATAAACTTTTTATCAAAATTTATTTTAACATGTATGAATAAATAAATAAACAATAAATAAATGAAAAATAAATATTTATCACAGAAAAACTCTAGCGAATAAATATAGCGATTATAATAATTAAAATCAATAAAAAATATTAAATTTCATTAAAATTATAGTTAATTTTTCGATCAATATTTCTTCCTTACAGCTAAAAATAAGGTTCGGTTTTTATAATTATAAAAACAAGAATAAGTACATAAATTTGTGGAAGTAAAGTTACGTGAGTAAAAAAAAAAAAACATAAATTAAGTTTGCGGGAATAAGTGCTGCACGTTCTGCAAAAAAAAAATATGGACGGGACAGGAAGAAAAAAGGCCAAGGATAAAATATTAAATGAATGACTATAACTAATATCTGAGCCGGTAACGAAAAAATATATAAAAGAAAGTTAATACACACTATACCATCGGGTTTATAAAGACGAGAGGGTGTTAGCGCACAAAAACCATTTTCATTTTGACTTGGATATCAAGTTTCTAAGAGTGAAATCCACGAGTGTTAACAGTAAGTCTTATCTCCGCTTTTCGTGTATATAAAAAAATATATATAGTTATACATAGATGTTAGTATAAGTATGAGGATGTATTTTCGTTATTCAGTAGCACGAGTCTTTCCACTTGGAGAGATATGATCCCTTTATATCCATCGAGTCATATTTATTTACGGTGGATCAGAATAAATATTTTTTTTTTCTCAAATAAGTATCAACAGTTTCATCACATGAAAAAATTTTTCTGACATTGCGAACAATACAACAAAAATACTTATTGTTATTACTATAGTAAAAAAAATATTTAGTTATGTTTAATAACTGGACATAATTAAATTTTCTTTCTTTTTTTCAACTTAATAATTTACCAGTATTGTTTATTTTTTATCATAAAAAATTGAATTTGCATCAATAAACTTTTGGATATTGAAAATTTTTTCCTAACAAAAATAATCATCAATAAATAGATATTTTATTAGATGAATTTAACAAAAATTGATGGTTTAATTCATAGCAGCAACAGTTAAAATTGACGTAGACATACACTAATGATAAACATTTATTCCAAGACAGAATCGTAAAGCTTTTACGACTCGACTCTGACGAATGTCTTGTTTTAATTGGCACACTGGTTTATTCACACCAACGAGTTTATTATACAGTTAAATATATACTGGACATTATGCAAAGATTGTCGACAAAGTAATAAATCTAAAAACTTTAATAACGCAAATAAAATTACACTCCTCGTCTTATCTTCAAATGTTTGAATTGTTTCGTAAAGTTTTTAACTTTAGTTAGCGCTTTTGTTTTATTTCATCGCAAAATAATTAAATGATTGCCTAATTATCCACACTCGTTTTATTTTATCAACTGCAGCGACTTTGTTCATTATATTAACTTAAAAATTATAATTACATTATGTGTATTAATTAAGACAAAAAAAACGTAACATTTTTTATCAATTACGGTTTATCAGAACAGAGAGTCGGTCTTTAGAAATTAAAGTACTCGACTAGATATCTTTTAGTCCTTAAATCGACAAAGACTTATCGGTTTGATATCGAGAGTTTGCTCTAGTATCTCCTTGGGAGATCAAGGAAAACGAGAATTTCTCAAGCAGAACCATCTATCGTCTTAGGAGTTGAAGACTATCGGAAAAAAATAATGCTCAGGAAAAAAACAAAACGCTGTCGGCAAACACTAACTGACGTTTCTCCAGAATTTTATGAGATTTCTAGTGAACCAGACATTTGAATTTTAATACAACACTGATATGAATAAAATATCTTTATATATTTGAATAATACTCTTCATATGTATGTATGCATGTATAACGATGTAGTGTACAAAAATTTTGGTTATTTGAATAATAATGCGATATAAGGGTAAATTTTTGTTTCTGCGAATTAACAACAGCAGTTTTTTTTTTTTTTTATTAAGTTTATTTTAAGTCGCTATGACACCTTAGGTCCTCTGCGACAGCAGTTTGTTTGATTAAAAAAATTATTAACTTTACCAATAGATGTCTTAAAGTCAGTAAGAAAAAAATTTGCTTATAGAATATTTACAAAAAATATTATTTAAAATTTATAAAAATAGGCGATTCTTAAATATTTCCAATTTTTATAATAAGCAATTAATTTAATTTTTTAAATTTATCTTTTTAGTCAATAAAAATTTTGAAGAGTCTAATTATCCGTCAATACCAATTAATCTAATAATACAGTAGCGCGCAAAAGTATTTTAACAACATTATGCGTTAGTTTTTTTCAACAGTCAAATTACTTTGGAGTTAAAAAAATAAATAAATGATTATTGTGTTTCATATTTATTTTTAATTAAAGCATTAAATGTATTTGGCAAAATACTTTTGAGTACTACTGTATATGTATTGTCGCATTTGAAGAGTGCAATGAGTTTTCAAAGTAAACTTATATTAACTAAATAAATATGCATAGCATAGACAGGTAGAGAGTAAAAAGAAAACGAGTGTCATGAAAC